TTAGGGAAAGGAAGTGTCCGCCACGCTGCCCCAATGCGTGTTGGCGAACTTCACATGTCTTCGAAATATTTTTTGTCTTATTCCTTAGGCATGCAGGTTCCCTCACGATGTTTTCCTTCACCGCTGAGCACGTGGTAAAAAAAAAATAAAAAAAGAGAGCCGTGGTAGCTCAGATGCTTAACGCTCGCTGTAAATATAACAGAATGCGATTAACCGAGTTCGATCCCCGCCGGCACCAATGAAATTGTTAATTGCAATTTTAAGTGCTGATTTACCACGTGATTTCGACATCAATCACTTCAATTACTATAGATGGTTATCAAAAACAGGCTGTTTGAAATTGTCGCAATATTTCGCGCAAGTAATAAGGACACTTTCACGCCCTTGCCTTCTTAATATCCAGTATAATGTGTGTGTGATAATATTAAATCGAGGCGAAGACTAATACCATACTGGCCTGAATAATAACATTAATTAATTTTTTCTCTCCTAATGCTAATATGACCATGCTGCTTGATCGTCGAGGCTCTGTTTACCGAAGACCTGAGGACAGAAAATTATATCCCTATATATATGCGTTATAATTATATAATTATAACGCAGTATTCAAATTTCACAGACTGTTGATATCGGTATGTGTTAGGACATCGGTCTTCGCTTTTAGAACAGCCTACCACCCACGCCTGGTATATGACTCATGAGTCAGACGTCCTCTGTCTGGATGTCTGAATCGTATGACGTATGTTGAGTAACGATAACCGAAGACCCTTCTAACTCCGCTGCACGATAAAATTTCTATAAACTTATGATTGTACCGTAATGTAATTAATAAATATAATGTATAAAATTAATTTAAAAAAAACGTATAACGAGACATTCCATCTAATCCTTAGGAGTAGAAATGCATGTTTTGACGGTTCCGTAGCGCAGTGGCTAAACATTTGTTCGCTGCAGGATCGAGAGTTTGAGATTCGCAAGAAACAAGTGTTTGTATGGCTGGATGTGTGCCCTTGTGCAATTTATGTATGTAAATCGCCTTAATGATTAATGAGAAAATTTTAATGTGCGTGTCACTTCTACATATAATCTATTAGTATTTTGATTCTTAATTATAGGTATAACTTACAATCAGGTGCACTGTGTGCTCACTTGCCAGCTTTTGTATGTAAAATAGTTCTCTTTTTGCCCATAAGTAGAATTAAAAAGATTATTATTTAAGACTATTTTAAGAGTATAATATATAAAATGTCCATAATTTTTTCATGCAATTTAAAATTATAAAATTTTAACAGATATTGTCTTGTTGCTAAGTCAATACTTCTATGACATAACCCACACCGAGTATTTTTTATTTAGTTTTTTTTTTGTTGCTTGATCGATTGAATTAGGTATTACGTGTTTAGAAAGTCTGAAAGAATTTCTTGGTAAACCGCCCGGCGATTTTTGCGAAATTTTGAATAAAAGAAATCAGTATTCAGCCTAGATTTTCATTTGTATTTTTATTTTTAAATGTACTGGAGATTTTCGGTGTGTGATTTAACTTTGTCTACTGATGTAACTTTAATATATTGGGCGCCTTTTTACGTATTCATTGTTTTCGTGTTTACACTACAATAACAACTAAGAAAATAGCATCGTGGTTTTAAAACTGTGCTTATTTTATGATCATGTCGTTAGTGAGATATGGTAAGATACATTTTTTATCTTAAAATTTTACGCCTTAGTAGAGCAGTGTCTAGGTAAGCGTCTAGGTGTGGCGCTGTAAACAAGTGTTTGTATGGCCTACAAATAATTTTACCGCGGCCGAATATTTGTCCATGTGCCTTATATGAATATGTAAGTAAACACCTCTGATATACATTAAGAAAACCTTGTTTTTGTTTACCGTTTTTAAACAATACAAAAATCTTTTTAGTGATTAGTCTACTTCTGACAAGTGACAACCGTGCATCAAATTATCTGTTTCTTCTCGTCATCTCAAGACCATATTCAGACGACTTTCATAAGATCATAAAACTATTATGGTTTTTATAGTTTAAATTCGTCCGTGGGTTGTAAGTATACAACCTTTAAAGGACGTTCAAAAATTGTTTAGAATAAGTCGGCTCGACCGGAGAATACCGCACTGTAATGCTTTGAATGCTCTTACCGATTTTACAAAAGTAAAACCATAGCGCCGTTCAAATGTACAGGTAGCGCCATCTAGTTACAGCATTCAGATAATATTTGAAATGGATCGATTATTTTACAGTGATATCCTTTTTTACCGCGGTAAAGTATAGAATCTGAGTGAGTAACGTGTACTGGTATGGGGCGTTCGTAGTGCATAATAAACTCACATTATTGTACTACGGTGTTCTAAATGATAGTCATTCGAAATTATGCTAAATTTTCTGCTACACCTGACCTACGACGACTAGAACTCTCTTGATGCTAGTCTTAAGCTTAGAACAGAAGCTACGTAACACTCGATAGCCACATTCATAGACATTTAGGTACGGTAATTGCCATTTTTTTCTGTCTTGATTTACAGGTTGTATCCTACTCCCCCTGTTCGCACTTTAGTTACCACGAGTGTAGAGATGTGGTATGTCTGTATTCATTAACTTCTTTATTGCACGACAAAAGCTGCCTCTAATATAAACATAAGAAGTATTCTTTTGAAATTGCAAAATTGTTGCTTTAATTTCGCGAGAAGCCTACTCGATAATAGCTGAATCAAATCGCGATTACAAGATGTAAGCGCTAGAAACAATGGTGTTGACAATACATTTTCTAATGCAAACATTTGTATAGCAACTTACCGCTTTTAAATTTATACGCGGCATGCGTGCAGCAAAATGAAAGTGTATTGAGGAACCGTGTACAACGTGACTATATTTTTACTCACTCAAAACAAAAAGAATGGAGACGATATCTGAATATGCTTTTCTTAACAACATTTAAAATCCTTAGCATTTGTTACACTTTTACTTTATAAAAAAATCATATCGTTTATAGTATTTTATTCTTTTATTCAGCAGACCCCACAGTGCGCTAGATTTAGTGCCGTTTGGCACTCTCGAGTGCTAAACCTTTGATGTTAAAGAAATTTAGTAAAACAACGATGAAACTTCAGTAGTTTCAAAGTATTCTCTAATTTACTATTACAGGATGCTAGAATTTTCTTGTAGTAATATTTCCTCATCGTCTATGCCCTGTAAAAGAACTAAAGTTAAGGTTACTCGTTAAACTCGTTGATTAGCCTACATTTGTTTAAATAAGAAAGGTTGTGCAAGTACATTGTCATTGTACCAGATACGTTTATTTATGTTTAAAAGAAACAATAACTTGAAATAACATTTAAGTAATTTTCGACTAAACTGTCGACCTGACTGCACAATGATTAACTACAAACACCGAAACGTTAGCATTCTTTATTTCAGAGGTGACAATGCACCTAGAGGCTACGTTGTTTGTAGTTGGCTGTGAAAGGCCACTTGCAGTTCGTTAGCAAACTACGAGTTAAATATGTTAAAATTAATATTTAGCTAAAAAAGAAATATTTAGCTGTGATTTGCGTAAAACATAAAAATGATGTGTATTTACCTAGTAAACAGCACCTCCCGCCCTCCACAATTGCGTGTACTATCCCCATCACCACTAATCCCAACCACACTACCCCCAATACCACTACACTAGGAAAGACACACCACCTTCGATAACGTGTTCCGTCTCTAAACGAGGCTGTCAGCCACGGCCAAGTTTATTTCTCGGCTAAGGCCGCATTTTAATTTTTAAGCGGATTTTAGTTGAATAATTTTAACATCTTCAATATAATAGATTTCCGCAAAGTAACGCCCGAGTCTATTAATTAGCTGACTACAAGCTCGGTTACTACAATTTCAAAGGGATACCTTCTGTTATTTCATAATCTTTAGACAAGACGCCGTCAAGCTTATAATTTTAAAATTCTCTATTACAACAAAACAGCATAATATAATGATCAGGTTACACTCTCTGACATTTAGTTATTTTGACGGTTAAATTCAGCACCTTCCGTGAAAGTTTATCCTTAGATTATCACTAAAAAACGTAGAATAACCACATTATTAAATCTTGAATGCTATTGAGTAGACAAGAATTACTACTATCATTATTCAATTATCATATTGGTCATTGCTTAGTTTAGTAGTAGGTAGTAGCGGTAGTAAAAGCTGGCAACTAAATTACTATTATGTCACTAAAAATCGGCAATGCTTGATGAGCTTAGTTACTGTTCCGTGCCACTAGTCCTCCCTTCCCCTCATCTAAATGATGCATTAGGTTGTTCATAGCAGTAAGGGACAGCAAATTTTAAGCATCCAACGAAAAATGTAAAAAGTGCATAAAATAATGTGATTTTGATTTCCCTTATTATTTACATAGATACTTACCTACTTGATGACCCTCATTCGAAAATCTCATAAAGAATTAACCTCTCATTTGGTACCCCAAAATTAACCCTTTTAGCTTAACTAAAAATTAAAGCCTTACTCGTTTTGTTTCTTTTTTTTTTTTAAGTTACCCCTACACTAGGATTTTCTCCTGTATCGTGGAGGCAGTTTACAAACATAAATTTCATAAAGACAAACATCCAGATCCGGAACAATTATTTGTAGGCCATAGAAATACTTGTTCCGTGCGGGATTCGAACCCGCGACCCCCGGCGCAGCCACTCATTGCTAAGCCACTGCGCCACGGAGCCGTCAAACGCACTCTCACTTATAATTTGGATACGCATATTTTATAACTACGCCAAATTAACACAAACATTAACAAACACTTATGCACGTTACAGTAAATTAAAATAACATTTTAGTTGATTTTTGTAGAAGATAAATTACATAAATGATACATATTGTACATTGTAATTTGTAAATTACACCCTATTTTGTGTTGATTTCTGTAGTTAATGAAACATCGATATATTGTTGTCATCGGCCAAGACCAGGTCTCTTAAAATTATGTTAACGTTTCAGGTGACAGAATGTCTCGCAACAAAGACAAGCACGAGGGCGCGAGCGGGCGCCAATATCGCATCATGTCGGACGCGGAGCGGGCATCTGGCAGGCGAGGAGGCTGGGCCACGCTTGAGGTAAGCAGACAATTTACTATCTATGAAAGAAAGCATTTAAGTTAACCAACGAACTTTCTGGTTTTATAATAATTTGAAGCGAAAAACCAACTCGCAGTTCACACTTGATGATAAGGTGTTATATACTCGGACTTATAGTCTCTACTACAGTCCGTGACATATACAGCCAACTTCAAATAAACGAGTCCGCAGGTGCGTTGTCACCTCTAAGGACTAAGATGGAATGCTCACAGTATGCTTTTCAGAAATAAGTAAGAAGGTGGTGTAGGTATACACGGACTTATAGACAGAAAACATAAAATTTATATTATAATAGGGTCTCTGTTTGGAGATAGCGTTTAAACATTAGATAGTCACGCAACATCTATAGTGGAGCATGGATGTGGCTCAAACGGGGTAAAGCCAAGCATACGCATTTTTATTTTTTTATTGAAGTATAGATGTATATGACTTTTGAGCTACAGCATCAGCCTACCATACACTGAGCTTTGTTTGTCATAATTCTTTTCATAAAATAACATGTGATAAAGTCTTAGACTTAGACCATTCAAAAAATTAAAATTTTTGTACAACCCACCTAAATATAAATAAAATGAGAACATCGTAAGGTAAGGATAATTCAAAAACTACTGATCAGGTCTTTATCAAATTTATATGGGACCACACGAGAAGCACCAGCTTTCAAATAAAAAAGAATCATCAAAATCGGTTCGCCTAGAAAAAGTTCTGAGGTAACATATAAAATAATACAGTCGAATTAAGAACTGCCTCCTTTTTTGAAGTAGGTTGAAAAGAAAATGATCCCACATAATTATAGTAGGGATTACCTATTTACCTAGATGATAAACACGCGAACGTAGAAATTAACTATATATTCTTGCCTTAAAAAAATTCAATTGTAGCGGTTATGGAAGACATGTAGGTTTAGACTTCCACTCTCTCGCTGTGCGCATATTTTTGATGAAGTGATACGTGTTACGCGACCGAGACACGTCAACAACGTCATATTTTTCGGTTTACAAAAACGTTTTTCTTATACAGTTTCCAGTGGAGCATGCACATGGGTGTATTCTCACTATCAAACTTAATATGCTAAAAACTTTTTGTTTTTAATTAAAATAAAGCACAACACCTAATACAATGTTTTACTGTATCAAAAACGGACTCTTAAACGTTCCGCTTTAGAATTTTGACATACGAGTATAGGCTTAAACTGCATTAGAAAACCTAATGAAATAAATAATAATATTGTGAACAACTCTTATTATATATTGCGTCAATGCAATCTCCTCACATTCCAGCATTTATGTTCTCTCCTGCCGATCAGGTTATTTTAGCAATCACGTCTAAACAGACAGATGGTCGTCACTATCTTAGATCCTCTTCTACCGACAATAATACACATTATAAATTTTTCCCTTGATTCGGGGCAATATCCTAGTTATTGGAAAAATACTTATGTGAAGCCTCTTCCTTAAGGCACCTGCTCCTATCCTTCCCAGCCATTTTCGACCTATTTCAATTATGCCGTTCCTCTCTAATGTTTAAGAAGCCTGTGTTCATAAGCAAGTCCCTAAGTTTATCTTGAAGCATAACCTACTGAGTCCATATCAGTCCGGGTTTCGTCCAGGTCACAGCACTACCACTGCTTTAATCAAAATCACTTAAGACATTAGAAAAGCTATGAATGAATCAAATATAACAGTGCTAGTTGTACTTTTCTAATGCTCTTAACGTAATTCATCATGATATTTTCTTCCCATCCTATCCCATCTTAATTTAAAGTGCACTGTCTTAGACCTATTTGCATCCTATCTCCGCGGGCGTCAGCAGTCATTTCACTTAGGTCGTGGTAGAGTCAGGCTGCAGCTATATTATGGTTGTAGCACAAAAGAGTTGGCTCGACCGGTGAAGGACCACGTTCTCACAGAATACCAGTGTAAAATAGCAGCTTGATTCTGCTGTGTTTTTCCAACGGTGGGTGTAGAAAACCTGAGACCTGTTTTACTGGAATCGAGGCATTCCATCTTATTCCTTAGGGGTGGCAATGCATCTGCAGTTTGATTCTCAATCAAGGTTAAATTTAGATGTCTATGCGCCTCAGCATCCACTTACCATCAGGTAGATCGTGTGCGCGTTCACCATGCTAATTCTATGAGAAAAAAAATTAAACATCATTAAAGATTGGTACTCGCGCTATAGAGTCAGTGTCAATCCAGTAAAATGCCAAGTGATTTTATTGGGTTGTAAAACGTTGCGGGCTAGAGTTAATCAAACAGACTTACCTCCAATTACTATCATTATATTGATATTCCATTTAGTAAGTCCTTTAAAAACCTTGGTCTGCATATTATTATACTCTCGTACTACGTACTATACTCGTTCCCTCATCGTCTTAAACACTTCCTTCCTTTACCTATTTTTGATTATGCAGATAAATGACAAATAATGTCTACATAATAGCTTTTAAAGTCGGTGCTATTAACATATTTTATCGAAGAATTTAAGACCCCGACTTCAAAACTGCTGTGTTGGTATTTTACTCTTTTTAGTTCTATGAAGTATTTTTATTAAAGTTAGATTTTTGGCCCTTTTGAGTGCTCTTAGGAATATTACAAGTACAAGTTAACTAGAATGTCGCCTAAACAACTACATCATAAACTTCATCCAGTATTCCACCTTGTGTGGTGGAACTTATCTTCAAATTTAAATGGGACCACCCTTAAGGTTACCTGTTTAATTAAAAATAATCAATAAAATCGCTTCGCAATTTGCGAAGATACCGTGTAACATACAAAAAAGAACACAATCTAATTAAGAAACTCCTCGTTTTTTGAAGTCGGCTAAGAAATAACTTTGTAACTACCCTGTTTTAAAATCCCAGTCGAAGCTGAAATTAGTGTAAAAACATAATTGTATCTGATTGTCGGGTGTGGCCGTGCAACAAATGTAATTTGCCCTATTTTTTTTTTCTTTGACGCTACTCTTGTCTACCTCGGAACTTATTGCAAAAGCGTTACATTTTATATATTGGCTACAACTTTACAGCGAGCGCTTAGTCTCTGAGCTATGCCCTGAGGTATTACGGTTCTGTATGTCAATTAACCCTTTAATAGTTGTTTAGTAGTATGGTAAATTGAGATGAGTAGTCAGCCTCTTGCGTAGCACAATTCTACGCAGGAGGCTCACTACTTGCACGATTATATTTCCTGCGCATTTGATAGCTTCATACTATACCGAACTTGTTACTGGTTACTGGTACCGAAGTTGGTACTGGAAGTTGAGCAGAAGATTACAAACATCATTCATCTTAGTCTACTAAAGTGACAATGCACCTAAGAAATTATTGTTAAATGTCTAAGAGCGTCATTAACCATTTTCCAACAGCTAGTTAAATGGCTTTTGTCATTAGAAATCGTGTTCGTTGTTCACCAGAATCAAATTGATCATTGATAGAAGTGAAAATGTGATACAACCACATATAGAATAATAGTTACCTAAAACAGGCATCGAATGAAATGCTGTTTTCAATTTTTCCGACTACTTAATAAGAATTTACATTAAATTATAAACATTGTTGAACTGGTTTTGCGATGCGTGTAAAGTATCTTATTATCATATTTTATAATTATTTGTTTACGTAAAATGCTATGATCATATTACATAATATGTATTTTAAAGAGAATGAGGCTTATTTGACCTCAATCTCATTCTGGGTTAACCAAATAGCTTTTCTATATTTATTATATTCAGGCGTTACTTTGCGGAAATTCATGATATTAAACTTGTCAAAATTAATTAGCTAAGATCCGCGTGAAAAATCTCTTTCAAAGTAGGCTACGTGAACCCCTAGGGCTCCGCCGGTTGATCTAAGAGGGTTCGCGTCCAAATTTACGTTATTGCGACTGACTGGCGGGCTCACGCTTGCTACCTGCCGCGTGATGGTGCACGCCAATTGCATTTAGTTTATAATTCACGTTTGACTAACCAACACCGCGTTTGCTTGCGGATACTTTTATTTTCTTATTAAATGATAATAAAATCATGTATACAGTTCTATTTACCAATACGATGCTAAAACTAACCTAACAGTAGTAAACATAGTTTCAATGGTACAGGGTTCGAGTCGTAAAGACATTGCGCGAATTATTAACTATTTACAGCAATAACACATACACAGCATTTGTAGTGGTACAGCTACGCTACGGCTTTGACGAGAGAAGTACCAAGCATCACAGAATAACAACGTAAAATAAAAATTGTGACATAGTCACATAATGCTGCGACCCGAAGACCTTTTTAACTGGTAACTTCATTTTAGTCCTCAAGGTATTGTAGAATATAGCGCTATAGAACTGAGTGACCATGGACTGATAATAGTATGTATATACAGGTTGCCAAATTCTTGTATAAACGTATTTAATAATAATTAGACAAGTTATTACGCCCAAATATGTTATATAATACTAATAAGAAAATTATTTTAAGCGGAGATAATAATATAAATATACTTAAAAGAAACCGACATGTTCAAGATTTTGAATATATTCTAGAAATTCACAATTTAAAACTAGAATTTAAAGAGTCTATTAGGGTTAGCAGTAACACACATCTGATAACTTTGCGCACAGTATTCATAAATGCAAAACTGAGGTTTATTTAATTTGGATTATCAGAACACACAGCTCAACTGTTACAATGTAGTCAAAAAGACATGCGTGATAAAGTCTTGGCGTATTAGAAAACGTGATTATAGTAAGGAAAATCTCATAAAATTCAAAAATTGTACGTACAACTTAACGTTTTCTGATATTTATTACACAAACGACCCTAACGAAGCTCATAATTGTTCTCTATGATTGAAGAAATGAGTTGCGAGACTTGGATTTTTTTAGTATTTTAAAGTAAGTTATGTTTTTGATGACATTGTTATTATACTCTACAAAAAATATAGGACCGATAGCGTTGATACTTATCATTCAAAATTATTTGAAAAAGAAATACAATTATTTGGTTATTTGGTGACTATACAGTTACTTAGAAAAATATAATATTTTAGTAAATTTACAAAGGTTTCACAAGGATAAACCTATAAATACAGCTATTATTACATTAAATGAAATAATCCAATAGTTAGTAAAAACCATCTTAAAATAAATATGGACAAAACAAAAATAACACACTTTTACCTGAGAACCCAATCCAAAATTATAAATGCTAGCAACCAAAGCAAGACAGTTACATTCTGTGACAAATACAAATTTTTTGAAAATTAATATTGACTATGATCTATCACGAAAACTACATCTAGATAATATTTATAAATAAAGTTAATAAATCCTCATTCGCTCTTTACAAACTATCCAACAAAGAAGCCGTTTTAACTGCTTGTCACGGACTTGTTGCACCTATCCTAAGATATGGTGTAATATTTTGGGACAACTCCGTAAATAAGGAATTTGCATTCAAAGCTCAAAATAAATGCATCAAAGCAATGTGCAATACTACAAGTTGTCAACCATACTTTAAAAACTTAATAATTCTGACATTGGCTTTGATATATCTACAAAATAAATCTTTTTGTGAAATCAAATCCAAAATTTTACAAGACCGCAAAGCTACTATAGATAATTACGTGATAATGAAAGATTAGACAGAAATGCCGTATGGGGGATACAGCACTAGTCAATAAAATCATTATTTGTTTGGCATCACTGATTCACAACAAACTGCCCGACTAAGTCAAAAAGTTGCCTATTCCCTTGGAGTTATTACATACATAGGTATGCCTATTCCACAAGTTGAGATGATATTACACCTATTTCTGATTAATAAATGTTATTAATTGTTATGATGTCAAAGAATACCTAGAGAATAAAATTATTATAATTTAATAATAATAGTTTTAATTTAATTTTAACTCAATAATTTATTTATTTATTATATACGACACATTATAATAAATCATAATTTTGCCATTATTTAATTTGTATGACAATATAATAAATTTGATTGTACGTGTTATTAAAGATATTTAATTTTGACTTTATATAACTTTAAGGTATTTAGTATGACAACAATTAGCACTATAGACTCAACTATTGACAATAAGTATTTATTTTCTTCTTATTTTTATTTATTTAAACGCATCATTATTCAATTAGTAAAGCATATTCTAATATTGTAGTGAACTTGCTCACCTCATAATAATACAGTGCACATATTCTAATTTGTAACAACTTAAAGGGTTCTTAAATATAATTTATATTTAAAGAAAAACAATTGTAAACCCTTTCTGATATATAATATTATACAATTAACAAATAAAAGAATCGAAGTCGAAGATTAGCGATGTAATATTAGAGCAACGGAGAAATTCACAATCAAAAAACCGTTTACATTTTTTGGTAAAACATTGGCCGTGCTAATTCGTGAGGTAGGTAACATTTTTTTATAGAATAAGGGTGACAAACGAGCGCACAATCAACCTGATGGTAAGTGGCCTTACATCTTCATTTAGATAGAAAATTATATATTGCACTCAAACAAACAAAACATTGGTAGTACAAAGGCGAACTTAATGCCGAAAAGGTATTCCCTGCCAGCTGATATTTATCTTCGATTAAGAATCAAAATGCAGATGTGTAGTTTCCACTAAAACGGTCTCTGGTTCTACTCATAGTACGAAACACAGCAGCATTATGCTGCTATTTTACGCAGGTATTCTGTGAGAGTGTGTGTAAATATAAGTACCTGAACCTGAATGACCGCTTTGCTCGGTATTTTTTTTTCGAAATTGTGTGTTTTAGAAATTATATTTAGATACAAATTACAAACTGATGAAATATGAAAAATATTTTATGATCTTACCGACATAATAGAAAAAACTGAACTGGTTATTTGAATAAAAAATTATCTGTGCAATTAGTATTATGTAAATTTTCGTCTTTTTAAAGAAATACTAAAAAAAGGGCTCGAAATAATTGATTTTCTCAAAAAAAGACGGGAACTTGAGAAAAAAGGAAATAAAGTCGTACCGAAGACAGGACTCGAACCAGAGTACTACTACGATATCGAGACCGCCCGATATCCCAATTGAGCTACTATAATCATTAAGACATTGCCAAAATTTATCTTCTTATTCTAACGATATTGTAGCAGTTTTTTATTGCCTGAAAACACGGATAAAATTTTCTAAAAATGAATCCTAGCTGGATCGATTTATTGCCCCCGAAACCCCCTGGAAACAAAATTTTATGAAAATCGTTTGAGACGTTTCCGAGATTCCGAATATATATATATATATATATATATATATATATATATATATATATATATATATATATATATATATATATATATATATATATATACTAGCTTGCCAGGCAGACGTTGTTCTGCCCTTTTCGACGACCTTTTGTCATGTCCTATTGTGGGTACACTCATCGGCGAAAAAAAACTATCCTATCTTTCAAGTTGGACCTGTTAAGTAGTTTAGGAGTCCATCGCGGACAAACAACGTGACTTGTAATTTATATATAAGTATTATATATATATATATATATATATATATATATATATATATATATATATATATATATATATATATATATATGTTTAAAGGTATTAGATAGACTAGATTAAACTATAGATCATCAAACGCCAACTTAATCGTTCAACTCTACTATCTTAATAATAGCAGAGCACTTCAGGATGACCAAAACAAAACTAATCAGTAAAGGATATTGTAGTGTCAAAACGTTAGTTATCATTAGGTGGGTAAACGCCGTGGTTTCCGATAAGGAAATAATTCGATTTCGCGTTTTTACAGTTATACGTAGCAGAAAATATTGTTTTTGTATTTTATCAAGCATCACGTAAACTTAACGTTATGTTATTTTAATAATATAGGTAATGGAAATAAAATAAAATTGTAAAATATGTTTTTATATCTTTGACCTCGTTTTTTTTTTGTTGTGTCTAAACGTCTTCTTACGAATTCCTGACGTTTTGACTTCTGCTTTGCAGCACTGATAGTTCCTGGGGAACTGAGGTGTTTAATGTGAAGTGTGTAATATTTTAATGCTTGACGTGATCGTGGAAACTGCAAAGCCCTCGAAACGTCAAATGAAATTAACCCGTTGGTACAATGGTTCGCTGCTGTCAAAGATGTGCTGCACATTTACTGAATATTTGGTCTAAATTATGTCCAAATTATCGACCGTATAGCTTGCTAGAGATTAAATGATGCTAAATAAGATAGTTAATTCGTGAGTGCGTTAAATAATTTATGTTTCTTTTTAATTTGAAAATATAGTGAACAAGGAAAACTAAATACGTTGTTAGGTCCATAACTTATTTGTGTTTCATAGTATTGTTAATGGAATAAGGTTGAGAAACGAGTACACAGCCCACCTGAGGGTAAGTTGATGATTTGGCCCGTAGAGATCTGCATTAAATGCAAATGCTTTGTCATCCCTGAGGACTAAGATGGAATGCCTCGGTAACAGTAAAAAGGGTCCGGTTATCTACTCTCGTTATATGAAAAACAACAGCATTATTCTGCTCTTTCACGCTGACATTCTGCGAGAGCGTGTTCTTACCCCGGTACGAGCTGGCCAATTTGTGCTACAGTTATGTAATAACTAGCAGCTGCAGCGTGGCTCTATCATAAATAGTATACGAATTAAAAGTATTTAAAGCTCTCCAGGATTGTATTAAATATTGTAATACCCATTTTCCAGGTAACAGGAGGTGTGCGCGCGCTGGCGCCGCAACTGTTCCAACTGACGCACCTCACCGAGTTGTACCTCAACGATAACTCGCTGCAGCGCATACCGCCCGACATCAACCAATTGAGCAATCTGCACACGCTCGACGTGTCCAACAACAAGCTCCGCTCACTGCCCGTCGAGATGGGTGACCTCATACAACTCAGGTGAGCGTGAAACCTAAGCTGTGCTCTTCAATGATTAACACCTCTTACTACCTCTCTCTCTCTCTCTCTCTCTCTCTCTCTCTCTTTATGTTTCCCTTAGTACTCGTACGAACCGGCCGTAGTATTACAATTCCAACGACGCTTACTGTCACCGGTTCGGGTATTTACATCTGGCGTATTATGGGCTAAGAGGCGCTCCTGGGGATAGGTCTATCAATGTACAGCAGTGGATTGCCGTAGGCTCTTATTATTGTTGATGATTGTCGACTAAGTTGACGGTTATATTCTTATCGATCAGAGTCAACAAAATCTTCTGGAAATCTCCATTATTTTCATTCTTATGACATCCATGTAACAAATGTAGTTAGTAGCATCTTACTTCGCCTCGCTTTATTATACGTGAAAGTGGCATTAAGCCGGCCTGACAACTTATAGACAATTTTACTGTAAATCTTACGATGTGCGCAATAATTGTCACATTCGTAAAAAAAATCGTTCAAATCAAAGTAAAGTATTGTAGAATATACGAACGAACGAAGATAAACACAATATTAGTCAACAGGAAAATACATATTTTTTATAGTATTTCTATAATTTACAACTCCTAGGTTTGTATTTATATCGTCATCAAATTAATGTTGTTTGGGAACAGTATTGTCAAGTCTTCCTGATAAACCATCAAATAAATATATTATGTCATACATTATCTTGTGATTGTTTACAATTTATAAATAATATTTGTTTATAATTGATAATGTAAATTTTGTTATTACATACACATATAAACGAATAAAGGTCTTAACTTTATAAAGGCATTTTTTCCTCGTGCATTGTGATTACTAGTTAGACCTTAGACCAATTCTTAGCTAACATTTGTGGGTTAAAGAATTAAGTAAAAATTAACAAGTTTCGATATCTATTTTTCATGACGTTATATGATAACATTTGGGGAGTATGTTTAGAGTTGCTACTTGTGTTAGAGATTTGATCACGATATCATGTAGTATCTCTAGGATCATAAATCATAACTTCTAACGATTGTAACCCAGAGGGATAGACAAAGACTATAGACTTCCGAGGCACACCTCTATCGTTTTTTTCACATCCTTATATCTATGTAGGTACACATGCTTGTTGGTCATTCTAAGCGTATACTAATCACATATTTAAAACATACATGTTTATAGGAAATGCCACTTACTACCTCTTATTACTACCTAACTTTATTGATAATTCCGGTTTTCTGGCAACTAGAGGGCGCAACCCCTCACAAAAGGTGTTGAAAAAACTGAATACACATTGCTTGTGACTGGACCTAAAAATGAAAAATTCTATGTTTGTATTTGAATTAGGATTAAACTCTCAAAAATAAGAAAAGGGCTACATTCTCATATATCATTCTCTACCATTCTTGTCAGATGTTACATTTCTACATATTCTATATATATTTATTTTAATACCGTGTGAAATCATCAACTTACGTTTCGCTTGCATAATTTACTAATAAACTAAGTATATCGATATACCTACATGAAGAAACGAATATGCTTACAAAATTCACACATTCTTACCAACACGTCTTCTTATATGGCTATTATGATTCTTATCATCTTCACTATAAAGTCGCTTCTTGTTTATAATAGTCCACAGGTCTTATAAATATGATAATAGATAAAACAGCTAAATACCGGGCAGGTTGAACAGCGTATAATTTATGAATTATTTTGCAAACAAACTAGATAGGCCAGGTCTTTGAACTCTGGTTGATAGGCTTGGTGTTTTTTTAATACTTGTATTAAAATGACAAACTAGGTAACATTTTACCTGATGGTAAGTGGGCTACTGCAGCCTATAAACGCATGCAAAACCGACTTAAAACAAATAAGGCTGCAAATGCGTTGTCACCATTATCACCACGAGGTTTAAGATAACCCTAATTCCCCTCAGCCTGTTCTGCCCCTCTTATAATCTTTAGACCATAACATAACAGAAATAGAGAAATGGGCAGAAAAAGAGCTCTAAAACCTAGTAAAGCATCTTATGAAACAAAAAAATTTTTTCTATTATGTCAATAAGATTAAAAAATATTATTCATCATCAGTATGTAATTTGTTTCAAAAAAATAACCGAGCGAAGCTCGGTCATCCGGGTACTGTATGTTATTATTACTCAAAGGTCCCTTCTGGGTGACATATGTGAGATGTGAAATTTTATATATTATGAATGACCTTATACATAAGTTTTAAAAATTATCAGTCATCTGTTATCTAACTAATGTAATTTGACAGATTAAGCAACTAATAAAATTCTGTGTTAATGGTTGAATATTATGAACTAAAATCATTTCATCGACTATCGGTATTATATATATTTGGATATTATAATATTGACAAAATGTCTAGGCTTATTTTACCCAAATGCTATATTTAGAGTGAATAATAGCGGATAATATTATTTTTATGGCTTTTCAAACACATTATCTGACTTTCAGACACAATAGTAGAGAAAAACAGATATGATCTGTATGTAGCTGGTATATGCGATGAGGATTGGGCTAACACCTTTTAGTTTTTACATTTTTAAAACCCTGCGCACACCAATGCTTATGCTTATAAATGCTATTGTTCAGTAACTCCATTACTATTATAACTTTAAGCATATGGAAAGGAGTAAAACTGACAAAACCCCTTCTGTTTCAGGGAGTTACACCTGAACAACAATTACTTGAGAGTGTTACCATATGAGCTCGGCAAACTGTTCCACCTTCAGCTCCTTGGATTGCAAGGGAACCCGCTCAGCAAAGAGATGCTCTCCATTTACAATGATTCCAACGGGACCGCGAAGCTGCTGACTTACATGCTCGACAACTTACAAGGTCAGTGCAAACTATATTTAATCTTGCGTCTATTTATTAATGTCCAAAAACATAGTTATGATGTATGCTTTTACACGAAAATGTACACAATGATAACTTAAATATTGGTGTGTTATTTGCATCCCTTAATATTTGATATTCAACACATTCTGTAGTCATATCCTGGGGCCGTACTTTGTTTATTTGATATAAAATAATACATATGTTTCGTATCAATAAGAAGAAAATATCGTCAAGTTTCTTATACTATGTAGGTAAATTAGCAATTTTACGCAATATTATTACATAAATACAGGTATTTTCTAGAAAAATATATTGTGATGTTTAATTTACTAATTCGTAATGTATCGTAACAGGAGATATGGAGAAGGCCTAGGTTCATTAGTGGATTTTGATGGATTTTAATTTGTAAATAATATGTATTGACGAGCAAAGGACCAACTTTTTTATACTATATATCTATAGATTGGGTGCGTTTGGTAGAAAAAAGCGCTAGCAAGCGCTTGTAAGCAAAATGGCGATCGTAAGCGGTAAGCACTGTCAAATCGTAAGTAGCTATTTTCCTCTAGGACACGAAGTTGGTTTTAACTGGGGAACCTAACCTAATTTAAATATAAGTTTGTAAAGTATTCATATTAAAAACTTACCAATCATGAATTTTTAATAATATGTATATGTTTATTCATGTCATTATATTATTTAAAAGTAATATTACTTAAAATTAATATTGCACAAAACAACTTATAAACTCTACTTCAAAACAAACAAATTAAATAAGCAAAATGGCGGATTATGTCAGCGCTACTGAAGTTAGCAAACGTGTCCTGGCCGAAAACTGTTTAGTTTCGCCATTTTGTTTACAAGCGCTTGCTAGCAATCTAAACACCCTTGTCTTCATTTGACTTCAAATAAACTTTTATTTTCTTCTGCGTTATCTCTATTTTCTTTCATGAAAAAATCAGGAATAGACTTTCAGCATATAAATATAATAATCATATGATTTTATTTTTAATTTCTTTAACAAACCTATCAACTACAATACGACAGCGCCCATGTGTGGCTGTGAACTGTGAATGTATGATAAAGAGAGAATAAGAAGTAAGGTATCTTCCGCCAACATTAAAAATTCTTATATTACTAAGAAAAATTATTTATAAATAAACAATGTAAAATTAGCAAAATAAACGGTAATTCAAATATTATTTAGAAACGTATTGTTATTTACCGAATCATTTTATACCGAATCGGAAGCAAACTCATGAAATTTTAAAATCGATCGATTAAGAGAAGACTGTTTATTTATTTAGAGATCGTAATGTTTTGATTTTTCATTTCGACAATCAACGCCATTTATTGAGCGGTAAAGTAATAATATCTAACAAACGGCACGGATATTTAAATTCTATAAAAGTAACCTATTTTAAAATATCAAAATTGTATATTTAGTTACCTACACAGATAAATAATATCGTATTTACACACAATAATATCGCATATACAAGTCTTGTTCGAAATCTTTGTAAACATTATAATATTGTGATGAATGTTTTTGCGTGTATTGCATCACAGTGTTTTTATCAATCTGTCAAGTATTATTGTTTAATTATTAATCAATGTTGTTGATAAGTGGAAAGTGTGATACACTTTCACTCGTATATTATACTTACTTTATCTTTTTAAAATTTAAAATAGCAAAAGCTTCGATAGCCGCGTACACACCTAGCACACGGGAACGCGCGGCAGCCTCGCGCACCAAATGCCTCGCCTGGTGTGGAGGTGCCTCGGGCTGCCTCGGGCGCACGTTGCCTCGGCTGAGTGGCGCTCGACCGCGAGCCATACGTTGTCGGTAAAATAGACGCGCTCAAAGGTGCCTCGGTGATCGCTATTCGTTTGGTGTGTAGGGTGGTATTTTAGCTCGCGAGGTGATACGATGGTGTTTGTTTTAGTTTTACTGAAAAGTGCCTTTAATAATAAAATATCATGAGCAATCAGGACGAGTCGATTCGTTTAATTCAATGTACAATCTGATCATATGTCAACAGAAACAGAAACTTTTTATTCAATGTAGGTTATATTAAACAATACTTATTGAAAGTCAATTTTTTCATTTACCACTGGTTCGCAAAAAAAAACCTCTGTCCTGGGAAGAACCAGCAAGAAACCCAGCTGGACTATTTGTTAAATCTTTAAGTAATTTATTTCCTAAAATTTTCTAATCCAGAAGCGTCTAGGTATTTTCTTAAAACGTGACTGTTTTCGTCTTTTTAAACAATAAGCAATTAAGAAGGTAGCTGCAGCTGCAATTACACAACTGTCCATTTCGAATGCTCGGGGACTTATGATGCCTCGGCCTGCCTCGCGAGGCATGCCTCTGAGTTCCGGACAAAACTACTGAGACTGCCTCGCGAGCCGGCACACCAAGGCTGCCGCGCGAGCCCGTGCGCTAGGTGTGTACGCGGCTATTCGTAGTAATGTTACTAGTGGTCCAGTTTTAAGAAATTTCTTGCATTTAGTGTAGTTTGTATGTGTATGTATAGAGTTTAGATGAAATGTTTATTATTTTTTATACGAGTAATGGTGACTAACCAGCACAATGTACACTTCATAGTAAGTGGATTGCAGCACTATTATCTATCCTGAACGAGTCCCATGTTGTCGTTATTCACTTACCTTTTTGAAAACGTTTTTCTCAGGTCGAACTGAAGATTGCATGCGCCCCTCGATTTTGGATCCAACCGTATGGAGTTATTAATTTATATGCCTAAGTCCATTCAAATTTATAACTCGGATATATATTGTAACCGTGGTATATTTAAATAATAATTCTCTACTTTAAAGCTGCCTTATAAACCTTTTAATCCAGTTTTGAGCTATTTTTAAAGTTTTAAGTCTCTATCTTATCGGAAAGTTGTTTTAAAAGCGATTTCAAAATTTGGGCCGAACAGAGAAAGAAAGTGAGATAATAATATCGTTTTTGAAAAAATTAAGTTAAATTTACAGGCTCTATACATTGCAGATAGGTCACAGGTCACTATGCAGGTCTCCTATTATTTCTGAGAGGGCTTGGTTTTTAGATAACGAAGTCTCCGCCGCACTGCCCCAGTCATGTTGGCGGACTTCACTTATATCTTCAAATATTATTTTTTTTTACTTCTCAAACATGCAAATTTTTTTTCATTGTCGAGCTTGTGGTGATCGTGGTTTATGTATTTTAGTGTAAAATACACTATTTAGTAGCGAAATAGATATAACTAATGAATATTTTATTAGAAAAGGGGGCGGGGTCTAAAGAATAGTGCAACCGCGATATAACAAATCGGAAGGGAACAAGTAAATATTCGTTATATCAAGTAATTCGTTGAACTGAGGTTTGTTATGTTGAGGTTAGGTTGGTCTAAAATTTGTTATAAAGAGGTAAAAAAATAATTTTATTCACAACTTCTACTAATAAACTTTATATACCTAAAACCTAGGTTAACAAAATTCGTTAATTAGAGGTATTTACGCTTTCTTGATAGTTGTAAAATCGTTGTAAAGAGGTTGTTCACAACAAACATTCGCAATGTAAACGCTATGCAAGAGGATCACGAAAAATTTAATAAATCGAGGAAGTCGTTTTATTAAGGTTCCACTGTATATATATAATCAAAATAATTTCAATCTATTTGTTATATTCGCGTTGTAAAAAATCAATCTTTTAATTAATAGGTACTTACCATTATAGCCTATTAAAGTCCAGTGTTGAACATAGGTCTACTCCATAGATTGCCTCATACGGAGATATGATATTTGCTCGTACGGATATTTGCCGTAGTTGCCACGCTTGGCAAGCGGGCTGGCAACCGCAGTTTTTTTTTATTAAGTCGTTATTAGGAATACGCTGCTGCCCATCGAATATGTTTCCGTGTCGCCTTTGGGTGTCGTAGCCTACGGAATGATATAAAAGTAAAGTAAAGTTACAGCCTATATACGTCCCACTGCTGGGCTCAGGCCTCCACTCATTTCTGAGAGGGTTTAGGGCAAGGAAGTGTCCGCCGCGCTGCCCAAATGCGTGTTGACGAACTTCACATGTCTTCGAAATATTTTTTTTTCTTATTCCTCAGACATGCAGGTTTCCTCACGATGTTTTCCTTCACCGCCGAGCACGTGGTAAATCAGCACTTAAAATTGCAATTAACAATTTCATTGGTGCCGGCGGGGATCGAACCCGGGTTACTCGCGTTCTGTTATATTTACAGCGAGCGTTAACCACTGAGCTACCACGGCTCTTTTACGGAATGATATAGGGCAGTGGATATTCTTACACCGCCACTACACGGTAAAATTATTCACAAATGACACGAATAAAAAATAAACTAAAATAGTAAAGTAATTCACTCTATATTACTTTTAGTCTTTGAAAACAAAGCATTGATAGTAATTTGTTACGATTTAACTTTCTCTCATTTCCAACTTCGAATCTCGAATCGATTTACCTGGTCCGTTTCAGTTAAACCAAGTGAAAGTTTTTGCCGTTTAAATGTTTTCTTCTATGCATATTTAGCCAATCTTTTCAGATTGCGTTTTTACCTATCCCGTAATGGGTAAACAAGTAAATTATTTTGTGCTTGCAGCTTGTTTGGATAATATTCTTATAATTTGAATGTGGAAGAACGATGGAGTTTACGAACTACGTTTAAATTTTCGTTTTTATTGTCATGAAAAATGTTTTGTCGCACGCCCTCTGCTATAATAACTCTAAAGAGTTGCTTAATCTCGTGACTTCATTTTCAACCGGGGAGTGGGTGGTGGTAGTGGATTCTATATAAAAATATCAATTGAAATCGTTGAATAATTCTGTTTTTCAGATTGTTTTTGATTTCCAATATAGAATATTTAGTAGCATAAACTAAAAGAAAAATCTTAAAGTACGATGCAGTCCTACTCTATGCGGTTTCGTGCCAATAACGCTGCGTTTCTTTGGTGAATGTCTATAATTAACCTCTGAGCGAGAAAAGAATCGTACTTGAGTTACGTAATAACTTAAAACTCACCTAAGTCTTGCAATAGCATCCTACATTGCCTACATTCAATCTTACCACATAAACGTGACAACAGACAGTAATGTTACATTTTAGAAGTAATTTTTTATTTTGCCCACTTGCGGTATTCGCACATCGCAGTAAATACGTTGCAAGAATGTATAAAATAGGGTCAGTATTTTAGGTTTGTATTTACCTACTTAACCGTCGAGTGCTGTGGAATCGTTTACTACCGGTGATTTGTCCGTACCGATAAGAATTAGGTACCTTCAAGAAAAAAGCTTACTCCTATCTGAAATGGCGGCGACACCTGCAATTCCCCTGGTGCTGCAGTTGTTCATTGACGTTGGTAGTCACTTTCTATCAGTTGAGCCGCATACTCGTTTGCCCCCTCTTCTATATGCGGTTTTAGATGGAATGCTCACCAATTATTTATACTGGCTGTCTTTCCTCTTCAAATCCTATTACTGCAGTTCAAGAACTGCCCAGACGGACTGCTAGGCAAAAAAATGGCTCCTACCATTAACCGAAGTTTATTAGTTAATATTGAGTTGTGGTATTATTAGGTACTATACCTTTATACTTTAACTTTTCCCGTTAAAAACAATACATTCTAGTTAATAGTTATTTTCGCCACATACGTGGTAAAAACAACATATTCTAAGAAGATCTAAATTCGAGCGTATCTCTACTAAAATAAAGATACTTACTATCTGATATGACAACCACTTAAAAATAAAAATAAACTTTCATGTTGTAATTTTTAATATCAATTTAAAAAAATTACATTCAAAATAACGGTAATTTTTTTTCCAGGCCAAGTTTATCCATACTAAGAAGTGGAATACAATAAAATACCTATCTTGGTTACCTTAGCCCTTACTGATGACGATATCAAGAATCGTAATTTCCGTATTGTATTGGTGGTAGTATCAATCTACAATCGACCCTCTGTTTGGCTCTGGCATGTCCCCGATTATATGCGAAAAGACTAGCATTTGTATAGTAGAAAGAGCTACTCGTAGCTTTGTTGGTTCAATGATTTAAATTCCATTTCACAAATGTGGCATAAAGTTTTTTAAGTGACAGACAAGCAAGCAATTCACTTGATAGTAAATGACTACCCGGTTCAGGTTCTGTAGAAGTGATAAACATCAAAAAAAAATCATTGTCACTCTTGATAATGAAGAGGGAATGGTTATCCATATTTAGTGATAATTATAAGTACTGACTCTCAATACCTTTTAAACGAACTCAATGGTAGCGGAATTAAATGATAGACTACCCCAGGAGGGTACCAGCACCCCTGGAGAATCCCTCGCTGAGCATCCACGACCATGTTTCCCCACTTCTGAGCGTGGGTGCTCAGGCTGCCCCGCGTATTCTGGGGGGGGGGGGGCAAAATTCCGCTCAAGACTACAACTGCTCGGGGCAAACGGAGCAACAAGACCAAGGCGACCCCTGCCACGCTGTCCGTGAGATTCTGCAATATCAGGGGACTTCACTCTAACTTAAACGCCGTTCACTACCATCTCGAGACGGCGAGGCCAGCTCTGCTCTTTCTGACCGTGACGCAGGTGTCCTCTCCGGCTGATGTTTCGTATCTATCCTACCCAGGGTACAAACTGGAACACTCCTTTGTGCCTCGGGCTGGAGTTTGCGTTTACGTCAGAGAGGACATCTGTTCTCGACGCCTCGGCAGACTTGAAGGTTCGGACCTGTCCATCCTTTGGCTACGCGTAGACAGCGACGACCATCCGCGCGTCTACGGGTGCCTTTATAGGTCCCATAGCGGTAACGCCGAAACAGACCGACTCTTCGACCACGTC